CTACACAGAGCCGTTGTTCACTGACGAGCTGCGCAAAAAATCGCGCGAATATGAACGTGGTTTTGCGCAGCTCGTCACACATATACACAATTTGCATAAATAATAATTTTGTTTTTTAAATATAAAAAAAATAGAAAATTGGAATAGGCTATAGAACGATGAAAAAAAATTTAAATATGAAACTACAATTGCCAGAAGGTTGCAGCAGACCACAATAAGTGAGTCGCTGAGTCATTTATTCAATCGAATCTTTCAAAACGACTGATTCATTCAGGAATTAAGAAAAAAGCTATTTTTATGAATGAATCCTTTCAAAACGCAAATTCACAATTCTGTGTGTTGCCACTGACACAAACAACATGTCTTTTTTCTTTAGCAAAATAGAGCAAAAAAAGACAACATTGTGTTTACAATTTAAGCCACTTAATATTAACTTCTTGTTTATTCAATTTTTGCGCTGACACGAAGTCTGCCACAGACCATGCTAACCAAACCGTTCATATAATCGCTCTAAATGTGTGTGTGTCCTATAGGAAGACTGCATATAATTGATTATATATTGCTTCACAGTGAGAAGCCTCAGTATAAAATGAGCAAGATCGGTATTATAGCGATAAGTTATACAGTAAATTACTGATAGGCTACCTGAAGCAGCTGCTGTAACTTTTTATCGCTGGTTGGTCAGTTTACATGTCGCACAGAAGTACGAGCCTCAGTAGTGAATGACAAGAAGCGAATGAATGTGCAGAGAGCAAATCTGCGTTTCTAGAAATTATTTGAATGCGCATGAAAACTCACTGATGGTGTTTATGGGGCATAGTAATACAACATTCGGGACTTCAGCACCCTTATCCCACCCCTAGCACCGCCCCTCATTAATTTGCCCTAATTCTTAAAAAAATAAAAGCAAATTTATTTCACAAAAATGCTTTGCACAAACATACACACACAAATACTGCCCCACTTTAATGTACACATACAATGTAGGAATATGACTAATATGAATAAACAGTATAAGCTATTCAATAGTGGTCCCAAACTGTTAACACAGTAAAGCTAGTAAGCTGGAATGCCACCACAGTATAGGGAAATAACGAGAAAAATAACAACGTATAGTAAATGGTAAAACTGTTTGCATTACAAACCAGTGTGTTCATAATTAAGATAATACACTAAAATAATATGGTGAGACACCAATTTTGTACAGCTAAAAATAGCTGGAAGCAAATGAGTCCGGAAGCAAGACCCATAAAATTTACAAATGTCCGCGCCCATTTTTACGTGAAGAATAAGGTGGATAGCGGCCGACAGAACAGGACAGTTTGTTTTTCTGAGGCAAGAAACTGTTTTATTTCGTAACAAGTTATGAAAATAATGTTAGAATAATGACACTGACATATAGTTTGACAATGTTATCTGACAGTGAATCAGGACAACAAGTTTTCTTCTTCTTTTGTTTATTGGCGGTTGGCAAACCAGCTTTTAGGTGCATTACCGCCACCTACTGAACTGGAGTGTGGAACAGCAATGAGGAAGGACTACTCTTATGAACTTACAAATAAATAAATAAACATACCTTAATACAAAATAAATAAATAAATGCATAAATACAAATTATTATAACTAAATACATAAATAACACTCATATTAACTATTTAATTACTTAATTATATTCTCAAATATAATCTTGTTGCTTTTATATATTGTAATGCCTCATCTTTCATGCCTTGTTTTCTTGCCAACATATTTTTAATGACGTGTCTTGGATTCTTTTTTTCTGCAATTTTATGAAAAACACTCATCTTTCGTTTTCAAACTCTGTACAATATAATATAGCATGTTCAACTGTCTCTTCTACATTACAATGACTGCATAACCCATTGTGATGCTTTTTCATTTTATATAAGTTACCATTAAGTCCAGTATGACCTGTATGTAATCTTGTTATAATTTATTATTTTTTTCTTAATATTGTTGTGAATCATCTTTCTTTACCCACATTTCCTTGAATTCTATATAAATGTCTTCCCTTTGTTCCTCTGTCCCACATTTGCGGCCATATATTATTTGTAGCTTTTCTAATAATTGCCTTAGTTTCAGATTTGCTCATGGGAATTGTGATTTATCCACTATCTCATTTCCTTATATTCCTACATGAACAGGCATCCAAAGAAAATGAATGTTAATTCCTTGATTATGCAGTATGTACACTGTTATTATAACCTATCTACAGTTAGAATGTCCATATTTCAGACTTTTTAGAGCTGCTAAAGAGTCATTGCATATGACTACCTTGTCTAGCCTCACTTCTTCCACCCACTGTAGAGCCAGATATACAGTATTCCTACAAGCTCAGCTGTAAATACCATTCAATCTTTTTGATAGCTACCTGGTACTTTGGAACATATACTGCTGTTCCAACAGTTTCCCAGTGGCTTGTTATTGGCAGTTTAGTGTTAAGTGAGTAATTTAACATTATTTTTGTCTTAAATTTCATAATAAATTGAGATAAGTTCAATCTGACTCGTTTTTCGTCCGTTTATTTTTGTGAATGTGTACAAATAATTGTGGGTGATTGAAGGTTGCGAAGGATACATCCAATGAATCCTTCAAATGCAGCTGAATAAAGATTTTTATTTACGGCCTTCAGCAACTTCAGTAACTTGATGATATAGCAGCTGAGATATGCAGCCTTTGTAGCATCAAAGACTAGAATACCCAAGACATGTCACTTGGATAGTTTTGTATTCATTTTCACTTGTATTCATTTTGTAATCACCGATAAAATCTTGACTCCCAAAAGAATTGTGTGCAAAATTTGTCGCGAAGTTGCTCCAAAAATCTCTACAGTCTACTCAGGGTCACAATGCTTTTTGGAAATGCAGCCCATTGGCAGTTGACATTAAAGATGGCTTTATATCACATGTTTAGGGACCATCTCTAAAGATAAATTCAACATTGGTATACATGTTTCAAACTTTAATAGAATTTGGAGAGAATGACTTGGTCATAAAACAAACTGTACATTGTTCATCTAATGTATGAGTCAGGTATATTTAGCCATATTTAGATATGATTTGACAGTTTATTTTAATACACAGGCTTATCAAAAATGTAACGTGTATGCCAAAACATGTATACCAATGTTGTATGTAACTTTTGAGATGGTCCCTAAACTTTGTGAATATCAAATGTCCAACGTCAAGCTAATTTTATGCCAGTGGGCCGCGTTTCCAAAAAGCATTGTGAGCCAGAATAGACTGGAGAGACCTTTGGCACAACTAGTTTATGATAACCTTAGGCTCACAATGCTTTTGGGAGTCTTTTCTCTGTGATTACAAAATGAACACAAGCCTAGTTTCTTAAGGCCGGGACAGACCAAGCTGGCGGTCGGTCGTCGGCGAGCGTCTGTCGGGCTAGTTGGTTTGGTGTGTTCCTTGTGTCTGCGGCAGTTTGCGTCTGGGCCATCGGTGAGAGTGAGACTCTGATTGGATGTTCAGTTTAGCGAACGAGTCGGTGCCCGAGAATTAAAGTGAAAGCGTTGAAAACGAGGAAGTAAATGAAGGCGGCACAGACAGAAGGCTGTTCTAATGTTGCGTGATCTTACCCAAGCATTCCAATATGCGAATAATTTCATAACAACATGCGCCAATTAAAATTATTTAATTTGGCACCAGTTATTGCGCCAAATAACTGATATTCAAAAAGGTAAGCAAGTGCTGCTTTGTTTACATTTCGTATATCTTGTATCCTTGTTTCGGTTTCTTCTTTTGAATAATGAATTGTTAACTATTGCACTCTTATACATTGCATTACGGTATCAGCCAAATTACCTATCTGTAAAAATATTCAAAATATTGCTGTATTTTTGTTTTATATATTGATTTACTAAATGTTCAACTGTCGAGTCCTTATTTTCTTTAATTAGTTATTGAATGTGAGTATCTATACAAGGCATAGGAAATAACCATGGAGGCACTTCAGGTAATGGCACACTTTGAGAGAATTTCGACTGATCTATACTCTTTATTTGGACCATTCTATTTCCTGTCCATCCTATTCTTTTGATTTAGTCTTGGGTATGTTCCCAACTCTCATGAAACACAGACTTATTTGGGTGTATATCCCTATGTCCTTTTAAAGATACCCAATAATTCATAGCTATTTGTAAACAACACGTTTTTCTTTCCCACTCGTTACTTTAACTGCCCTCTGACAGAACTGTCAACTGCTTTCACGCTTGACGTTCAAAATAAAGGTCTCACATCAGAAAGTCATAGAATTATCTTGTTTCTTTGACTGCACACTCCGTGACCCACCAGGTGAGAAAAACTGCAAATTATTTTTTTTATGCTCCACTGCACTCACATCCTAATCTGACAGCTCTAAGATAATCTCAGCAATTACATCAGAGTCACGACATGTTTTGCTTCACAAATGAGCACCTTTTGCATATAAGATGGCCATAGAGACATAGACTCATCCATGTTTGCATAGACGTCCTTCATGATGACACTTTTTGCTACAGCCAATTTCACTTGAGCTCTAATCACTGAGACTTTCATGTAAAAGAAAAAAAAAAAACATTAATGTGCTACTGTATGGAGGACCAAACCTGCAGAAATTATAAATAAACAAATAAATAAATAGCAGTCAAATAAATAAACTTTTTTTTATTATTATTTGATTTATTTATATTTAAATATATTAATTAATGTGTTTATTTTTTTTTATATTTATTACCATATGTATTTATTTCCAAATATATTCATTTATTTATTTTTATTTTTCCATGTGCAACCTGGAAATGAGGGAGGCTCTGGTGAATCACTGGTTGAGAGCTTACACAGAAGCGCCAGATCAAACTAACGATAGAGATCATAGTTTGCTATGGGATGTGTGAGATCAACTGCAAAGTTCCAAACCATTTTTTTTTCCCGATTCACTTTATTATGTCAAATTATTTTATAGCAAATTAATCGAGCTACTTATCCTGACAGTTCCGTCGTTAAGCCCGAAACCATCAACATTGTTGATGAGATTCTAGGTTGGGTGCTCCTCAAATGGAAGGCTGCATCCTACCGATGCTGCGTCAATCCTAGTTCAGTTATTGGGAGGCTTGTAGGTTCAAGTCCTCCTCTGCATTAACCACTAAAATGAGACAGTCTAGTAAGTGTGTCTATGTCACATATGTTTCCAACCTCACCATCTTGGCACCAAAATAGTAATATACAGTATCTCACAGAAGTGAGTATACCCCTCACATTTTTGTAAGTATTTTATTATATCTTTTCATGTGACAACACTGAAGAAATGTATCAGCCAAATTACCTATTGTTTTGTTTGAAGGTATTATGGCATGGGAGTGATGACGTATGTTGTTATGTGTTTACGTCTCTACGTTGTACTAAGCTGATGCGGATGTTTTGTAAAAAGTTCATGCTGAATAAAAAGAGCATGCTGAAGAGGTGAATAAACCCCGAGCAACGTTTTGTTTTCGTAACCGAGTGATGGTGAACTGCGCACTCGAGCTCAACAGGTTATGGGCCCAGTCACGGAAGCAAGCAGACATTTTGAGCAAGTTATATGCGACGTATTACGCGTTATTCAGTAAAGCTAACGGCCTTGTTTAAAAGAAGCAAAAAGACGGCGACTCTACAAAATGGCAAGCAGAGTGGCAGGATTCCAGGTACCGCAGGTAACACTCAAAATGTCGATCCATGTGTGAGATGATAATATAAAATGTAATATATATATATATATATATATATATATAATTAATTAAACATTACCTTGTCATTAGGGGCGTACTCACTTTTGTGGCCAGCGGTTTAGACATGGCTGTGTGTTGAGTTATTATGAGGGGACAGCAAATTTACACTGTTATGCAAGCTGTACACTCACTACATTGTAGCAAAGTGTCATTTCTTCAGTGTTGTCATATGAAAAGAAATTAAAATATTTACAAAAATGTGAGGGGTGTACTCACTTCTGTAAGATACTGTAACTTAATTTTGGAAAAATACTCACAAACAAATAAATCACACAAATCACAAAAAAAATCTTTATATTATTTGGCTTTCTATTAATGCAATACAATGAATCACAGCTGTCAACAGTTTCCCAGTGGCTTGTTATTGGCAGTTTAGTGTTAAGTGAGTAATTTAACATTATTTTTGTCTTACAT